AGAGTGAATGAATACGCGAATACCCGAATGGTTGGTAGATACAAAGTAAGAAATGATAAGTACCACAGAGATAATAGAATAATCGTAGCTTATATCTACCAAGATTACTTACTACATGCATTTCACCGTTCACATTTCATGCTCACAGTTACCCTTGAGGTAAGGTGTCATTATTATACTATTTTACAAGTGAGGAAACAGAGATACAGAGAAGTGGAGTAGCAAATACTACCCTAAGTCGGGGAGCAAGAAAGGGTGAAGCCAGGATTCAAACACAGGTAAACTACCCCCAGCTTATGCTCCTAACTGCAACTATGCTGACTGTGGAATGGGTTCCTGCAAGGGGACTGCAGCAGATCTTGTTGCTCTGTTAGCCCTACAACTCATTCCTCCCAACTCTTCCCTGCTTGCCTAAAAGGAAAAACAAACACATAGTCTAAGCCAATCTGTCTAACGTTTTGGTACAAATCCACTTTCCCAGAATCCTTTTCTACTGAGGATGCCAAGGAGACACAGTTATAACCAATGAGCATAAGCAAAAGCCTGCAGGTGGGCTGTCGGATTTTTTTTGTTCACTGGTAACAGATTCCTACTCGAAGGAAAAAACTTGCTAGTGCCTCCCTTCCTTTTTTCCCTGCACCGAAAACAGACGCAATGCCCAGCTGTGCAGAAGCTATCTGGGCGCCGTAAGCAACAAGCAGACCAAGATCTAAGGCTAGTGGGACAGAAAGGTAAAAGAACGTGGATCCTGCCCTGACCAGTTTGGCTCAGTGGATAGAGCGTCGGCCTGCGGACTCAAGGGTCCCGGGTTCAATTCCAGTCGAGGGCATGTACCTTGGTTGCGGGCACATCCCTGGTGGGGGGTGTGCAGGAGGCAGCTGGTCGATGTTTCTCTCTCATCAATGTTTCTAACTCTCTATCCCTTTCCCTTCCTCTCTGTAAAAAATCAATAAAATATATTTTAAAAAAAGAATGTGGATCTCCCGTAAAACCCAGTCACTAAACCAGCCCTGAAGCCACTTACCTCCAATCTTCTTAAATGAGTCAATACATATCTTTATTGTTTAAACCACTGTTAGTTGGCGTTTGTTCCTTGCCTAACTGAGCTAGGCGTCTAGAAAGGTTCATGAAGAGCATAGTCCTGCAGCTGTGCCACTGAGAATAGATGAGCATTTTTTTAACTTAACTTTTTTAAAAGTATCTATTTTTTAATGTTGATAGTATTACCAGCATAGCATTTCAACACACAGGAGTGGAAAAGAGGTAATAGACAGAGGAAATAATGTGATTGTGGACAGGGACAAGATACATATTCCTTTAAAGGGCAAGGACTATCTTCCGCAATTCATTATGAGGACACCCCTGATGATGCTCTTTCATTAACTCGGTGGCTTTGGAAACCATATGCTGTAGCACAGTGCTTCTCAATGTGTGATCCCTGAACTAGCAGCACCAGAATCACCAGGAAACCTGGGAAATGAAAGTGTGTGCCTGCTCCAGACCTGCTGGGTCATGAAAGTTGGAGGCAGGGTGGACAACTGTGTTTTAACACGCCCCCAGGTGATTCCTGTGTCTAGTCACCTTGAGAAGCCCTCAAACTTGGGCATAGAGAGAGAAGCTCCAGTACCTTATTCTTTGTCTTATTCTACCACCCGTTCCTGTGCAATCTTTACCTTCCTCAGTAAGGAAGGTTTGTTGAGGTCTGCCTACAAAATACTGTGGGACATAAGGCTATAGTGCCCTCAGCCCTCCATGACGCCCCCTCATTGGAACAAGCCTGCCTTTGTAATGAAGGTGGGAATGGGGACAGATAGGGTCCTGCAGCTCACCTCTCCTTTGACATGCCTTTCGGGGGGCACCCCTCCTGACTAACAGTAAGTTTTGAAGAATGGAGATTGTGTCCAAAAGCACTGAAGGAGGACAGAGAGAACCACATAGCACAGATGAGGGCGGGTACAAGCTCATTAAGTGAGGAAATGGGAGCTGAAGAATAAAAGCCAGCAAAAGCTCACTAGGAATCTCATTTCCCATCTGTACAGTAAAAATGATACAAGTTCTTAAGTCAAAGAAGCCAGACACAAAAGGCCACATATTGTATGATTCCCTTTATATGAAATGTCCAGAATAGGCAAATCCATAGAGACAGAAAATAAATTAGTGGTTGACAGGGGCTAAAGGAGGAAGAAGGGGAGGTGTGGAGTGACTGCTAATGAGACAGGATCTTTTGGGGGGTGATGAGAATGTTCCAGAATTAGATAGTAGTGATGGTTGCACAATTCAATAAAAAATACTAAAAATCACTAAATTGTACACTTTTAAAAGGTAAATTTTAAAAGATAAAATTCCAAAAAATGAACTGAGTTGGGCCTTTATTTGTCAATTTTAGAAATAAACAGGACCCGCCATCCCCACCCCACCCCCAAAAAAGAAAGAAAGAAATGAACAGGACCTTAGCGGTCATAGTTCTAGTCTCCCAGATCCACTTTACAAGTGGGAACACAAACAGCTTGTTTTGAGCTCATCAGAGGAAGGCACTGTTGCTCATGTCGCCAAGAAAGGGAGCCCCTTGCACTGCTGAGCCTTGTCAGCTAAAGCTGTTCTTCCTTTTTCATACTCCCCTAAAATGTCACACACACACACACACACAGTGATCAGCAGCCTGAGGGCACTTACCTCCACAATAAGGGACACGATGAAATTGCAGCTGAGCATAATGACAATGCAGACCCTCCACAGGACAGGAGTGCAGAGCAACTGGCAGGAGATGAAGCACAGTTAGTCTGAAGACAAATATATGCTGGAAAATGTTCACATGTTCACAGTGTACACTTTCATAGGTTACAAATCACATATGCAATAGCCACATACATGTGTGTACATATTATACACATGTATAAGAGGTATGTTTTATGTATGTAAGTATTTCTATGCATGTATGCGCAGAAAGCAGTGTGGAAAAATTATACCCAATGATGCCAGTGATTTGGGGACTATGATAGCTACTTTTTTTTTTTTTAATCATCCTTTCTTTCTTCTTTTTTCTCTGTAATTTCTAAATTTCCTAAAATAACTCTGGTCACTTTACAACAAAAAATAATAGTAAAAGTATTTTTTGTTTGCTTGTGTTATTTTGTTTCCATGAGGGAATACAGGGATGTGGCTGTACTCCCAGGAGAATCTGAGGGCACACATGCCACTACCTGTCTCTTTTCCCACTTCCTCTCTATCTTCCCTAACCCCTCCCCAGGCTCAAGATAGATATGTTATATATGGATAGTAAATGGATGAATGAATGAATAAGAGAAACACAGCAAAGTGCACTGTACCCAACACTGCCTCTTACATTGCCTTTACACTGGTGAGAATAAAGACTGGTACAGCTCTATGGAGGGACATGCTATTAAAATTTAAAGTTCAAATTCATTTCTAGGAATTTACCCTAGAGATGTACTTGTACTTGGTTGGAATGATCCTATCTAATAAAAGAGTAATATGCAAATTAGCCATCACTCCACAACAAAGATGGCAGCACCCATAATGGCTGGGGTGGGATGCTAGTGGTGTCGTCCTGGCAATGCGAGCCCAGCGTCTGCACCCCAGTTGCATGGAGGAAGGGGAAAGGCTTCTGGCCAGAAGTCTGGGCACGGGACACTGGGCTCACCTTGCCCTCGGTGACACGAGCCCAGCATCCACTCCCCAGCTGCGTGGAGGGAGGGGAGGGGCCTCGGGTCAGAGCCAGGGTGCGGAACATTGGCGTCATTGCAGGCTTGGCTGAGGGACCCCCCTACCGTGCACAAGTTTCGTGCACCAGGCCTCTAGTATATGTATAAGGTTGTTTTATTGCAGCTTTGTTTGCAATAGTAAAAAATTTGAAATCTAAATGTTGATCAATAGAGGGACTA